GTTCCAATAGTGCTTAAATTCCATCTCCTTGGACAGAAGATGTCTGTACGTTCACTGACAGGCCCTGAGGAATGGCAGATCAAAACAGACAACAGTGCCTTCAATTTCTTTCTCATGCATCACATAATTTTTGCAAAGGCATAAGTCCTAGAGAGGGGAATAAGTGGCCCCTCTCTAGCCACTTCTCTTACACTTCAAGTTGTCATTAATCTGTTAACTGTGACGGTGTTACACCTTTAGTACACCTTTAGTGCACAGACCATAAGAAACAAAAGTTCTAAGGGAGCTGAGAGATTAAGTGCAGCAGCCTTGACCTTTGCCTGGCTTATCTGATGATAACAGGATAGATGAGACTCATCATCTATGACCAACATAAGAACAATTGCTTTCAGCAGTGCTCGAGGAGGTGAGGTATATTTGGTACCTGCCAGTAAAATACAATCAAGGAACAACTACTGGTCTCTTACCATTAAGGTTCCTCTGAATGTTTTTAGCAGCACAGTTCTTGCTGGGATGGTTTGAATTTTCTAGGGAGTCCCAGCTCCCAGTTTGGCATGGAAGTGCAGTGATCAGTTCTGTGGATGCTTGGCTTCTACTGGACACTGCTGTTGTCAAGGGAGGCCAGACACATTGCAGAAATATTATATGGCACCTGACCTACTAAAAGCTGTCTGAAAACAAGAGGAATTGCAGATAAGAAAAGCTGGCCATCTGGCCCAGTAATAAGGATCAGCTCATGGCAGGGACCTCAGGTTCCAGAACTTGAGGATATCTGTATATTCCCTGTCAGCATGCCTGTATGGCGCCTTGGGAAGCCTCCATGGGCTTCCTCAGATTTGAGCAGGATGTTTGTCACAGCACCCAAAGGCCCTGTCTGTGCCAGAGAGGGTTCATCAGCAGAGGAGCTGGTCCTGAGCTGGCAGTTCATCTGCAGGATGTTAGGCTGGGGCATAGAAAAGCTTTTCACACAAAGGTTTTAGCTTGGGTGCTGCTGTAGGATCAACACACAAGTGTAAGGTACCACGTGTGTGAGCACCATTACTCCCACCACTGCTATGGCCCAGCTGGGACTGTGACTGCCCATAACATTTCCATGACATTTTCCAAGAGCCTGTCTTTGTTTCCCTCTTTCATCCCTTTGTAGACAGATGACTCTATAGCTCTGACCACATGACTTCTTCCAGCTGTTTTTATGTTAGGAAAGGAATGGCTTTACCCACTGACACTGAGAAGAAGTGTAGATAGGCCAAAGGAGTCATTTAATATTGTAACTGTACAGGAATTAGTTGTGTCCTTGTCTCATGATGCAGGAAGTAGAATGCAGATGGTCTCTCTTACATCAGCTATCCTGGAACCTAAAAATTTGCAGCTTTGAAACATACAGAAAACTTTGTTCAGGAACACGTCTTTGTGGAGAGGAGTTTGGAGCAGACAGAAAATCAGATTTTTCTTTTAAAGCACAAGCACAGCATACAGTGCTGTGCACCCCAAAGAGTACATTACTTATTTTTCTACTCTCCTCAGTGTGCAAATAGATGAGTTTTCCTGAACAGTGTAATTCAGCCTAGTAATTAGAGGACTAATGAAGATATGATATAGATTTGGAATTAGGTGTTTCTGGAAGGAATTTTCATCATGAGAATCTAAGAAAACAAACAAGCCAAATCTACAGCTCTTTAACACCACAACTTCTAGTTGTGTTTAAGCAATGGCTCAGTTCTACACAGAACGTGTAAATCTGGCTTCCACTGCAAGTACTTATATGGTTGCAAAGTAGTTATTTTTCAGGTTTAATAAAGTGGGATTTTTAAGGCAGTATAAAATCCAAATCTGTTTCTCACTTTTCTCCTCAGACTTTTCTTTTTTCTGTCTGAAATAATACTTGCATGAAAAACAAACAAGATGTTTTTCCCCCTAGAAAGGGAAAAAAATGAAAATGACAGTACAAAGAGCTCCTGACAACAGTGTCTCCTCTGAAATCAGAACCATCCTGATGGCCAGAAAAAGCCTGAGCAGAAACTCTGGATTCAAATACTGCAGATAAGAGCAAACGTCACTTCTGCAGAAGTAAGAATTTTTAAATCTATACTTTGAATTCTCAGATTCCCAGTGTTACAGACAGAAGGTGAGAAGGAGGTCAGTCTCCTCCCTCTTCTAGGTTCTTCAGCTTGTTTTTCACATTAATTGCAGTATTTGACCTGCTTTAATACACTCCTGACTATTTTTAGGCTCTGTGATTATTTCACTGCCCAGTGAAAACAGCCTTTTCCTCAGCAGACAGAGTGACAAAGAGTGTGATTTCAGTGTGAGTGTGAACAGCTCAAGCAGAAGATGTGAAGAGTAGCAGTAGGTTTGTGTGTGATTGCTGTTTTCTTGAGGCTCCTTGAGTTGCAGAGCCAGAATAAGAGCTCTAAGACCTTGAACTCTCTTACTTGTGAAGTGAAGCCAGGGTTAAGTCATAACGCTTGGAATTACAACACAGTGACCTGCATGGGTGGCTTCCAGTCCTTCGTGCTTTTCCAGGGGAAGCTGGAGGCAGGAGATACGTCCAGAGAGGGTGGTGCTCACCTGCACCGCCTCACCGACCCTGCCCTGAGCTGGGAGCTGGGACACCAGCAGGTGGAGTTCCCACACCACTTTCCCAGTGCTGTTGGGCTTTGGACTCAGTGTGAGTCTACCAGCAGGGACCTGGGACATGATCCTTGAACAACATGGGTTGCAGAAGAGCAAGATGTCAAGTGAGATTTGTTTGATTCATCTCATGAGGCTGCAGCCCCCCCAGTCTGCTGGCCACTAGAGAAGACAGGACAACCATTTTTCCTCTTCAGAAAATAGTGTGAGGGAAGGAGCCTCCTTGGGTGAGCATTATCATCACAGAATCATAGGATAGTTTGAATTGGAAGGGACCTTAAAGAATAGCTAGTTCCAGCCTCCCTGCCAGATGCCACTTACTAGACCAAGTTGCTCAAAGAATTATTAATGAAGAAATTCTCAAAGAATTATTACTAGTGCTTCAATATATATCCCAAGATCTCATTGCCAGCTCATAGGTTTTGTAGCTCAGAGCTTCAGCATAGTTAGAAGATGGAAAGTAAACTTCATTCCCTGAGAATTAAACTACCTTCTAGTTTTCCTTCATCTCCTTTTCCCACTGTGGTCCTCATGTTTAAGTTTGGAGGCTGGCTCAGAGACAGTGCCTACAATGATGCTTGTATCAAAACAAGGCTCAACAGCGTGAACTGGAATATGATTCTGCATGTTTGTGTTCTTTTCATGCTTGTGTCAGATTAGCGGGATGGCCTAGGATTTTGGATGAATAAATACATTTAAATGCCAGATCATTCCATCTGATGGATTTCAGGTCTTCACATCCTGAATCCTGATCCAAGGACTTGGATCTAGCAGCTGAAGTACAGCCATCACCTTTAGAGCCTTTAAAAGGTTCACTGATGCAATTCAATGCAGCATTTGTGCAACAGGATTGTGTAACCAAACAGGAAAAGAAAGCAATAATGGAAGAAACTGCAGATTCTCGTGCATCAGCATGCAAATCTGTTCTCAATTTAATTATTCTAAATTTTGTTTTGAGCCTTAAGAGCACAACACTAATGCCACAGTCTATCTAAGGATGGTTTGATATCTCACAGCATGAACTACCTGTTCTCGAAGAAATATTTGGAATAACTCTTGTATATTTTGCATTAGTCTTGTTAAAAGGCCTTTCATAGATGGTTGTCACATTCGCATATGACAAAAGGAAAAGGTTTTCCTAATGGTAAAAATAGCAAACCTGTGACCTCTGTAAAGAAGGCAGTTCTGAAGTATCCGCAGGGACAGACCCTGCTTTATATCCTCCAAGTCTTTTCTTATACAAGACACATTTATCTGAGACAGAGGAGAAAAGCCACGATTTTTTCCATTCACCCAACTTTGCTTAGGCTGCTTCAGATGACAGTGCAGAAAAGGACAAAGAAAAACATTTTGGTCTGGAACCACCATCTGATCATCAGAACTTGCTGAAGGCAGAAGGTTAAAAATTGGAAAAACTCTGCACTGAACATCCAGTGCACATTCAGTCACCTCAGTGAGGGGAACATGAGTAACTCAGGGAGAGGGAATAGGAAATTAAAGGGAGAATGAATTAAAAGTGAGACTACTGACATGACAGAATTCATCTGAGCAGACTAACTGCCCTGATTTTGAGTAAGCTTCTCTCAGCCAGGCTGTGAGGTGTTCCGGGCAGCCAGAGAAGCAGATATGGTAAAATATGACTTCTATGAAGGTGGATATTTGCTTAAAGTGAATGTGGATACAAAAATTACGTATTTATGTGAATACTTCAGTTTAAAATTAAAGGCATGTACTTCTAAATTGCATTCTTTTAAATAAGGAGTCAATGGCTCAATTACGACATGTTCATGTTGCTGTGCTCATGTATTTCACAGGGTCTAGAGAGGAGGAGACGTAACAGACAGACACACGCCTTTAGCATACACAGGCCCTCAGTGAAGTAAATTGGTGTCTTTGTTGCATGGCTTCACACTCTGGGGAGGAGACTGAGAAAACCCACATTTGGAAGTGTGTGAGCAGCAGGAGGGAAGCATGATTTTACCTCCAAAGAGGTAAAAGTTTGTCTCTCCAGTATGTGCTAGACTAAGATACAAGAGATATGACTTTGCTTCATGGCTGTGATCTAAACATTACTATTTCACAGTCACCAGACAGGGGTACCTGAGTTCCATGCTTTAACAGAAAGGGATTTCCACACATCCTGCATCCAACTTGGCTGTAGTTACGTTTGAAGCACAGTAGCAAACACAAAAAGTCCTTTTGAGCCTGGTTAGATCAGAGCTCCTATGTGCTAAAAAGGCCTTAGGGGTCCTTTGCTGGAAACCTAAGTTTGACTCATCTGTCCTCAACCTCTCTGGACTGTTCTGTGATGCCTCGATCTCAAGGGATTCCAGAGGGGCCTTGTATTTTGGCTTACTCAGAGACTAGTACCCTGCTTTCTGTTTTCTCTGTCAGTTCCTATTTCAGTAACCATCCTTATTTCTTCCTTTCTAGGCTTGGACAACCTGTGCAAGTTTGGCAGCAATGGCACCAGTGGCATCCTGCAGTCCAGAGAGAAAGATGCATTGGGAGTGAAGGATTGAGGGCATGAGCAGTGCAGGAGTGCCCTCCTTCTGCAGCAGTTATGTTACACCGAGCCAGGCAGCTCTGTGGGAAGTGGTTCCGTTGGTCCAGCCCTTTCATCCATCTCCTCACCCTGACTGTGGTGACTTTTGGTGTGCTGGCACCTTTGATCTGCCACCGGCTCCTCCACTCTTACTTCTACCTGCGGCGCTGGCACCTGAACCCCATGAGCCAGGAGTTCCTGGAGCAGAACCAGCAGGAGGGCCGGGATGCCCTCCATTACTTTGAGAAGATGCAGACGCCAAATGCCTCCGAGGCCTCTGGCAGTGACGCCTTCCAGCCCTTGCTGCTGATCACCATTGTCACTGTGCAGAGGCGGAATGATTTCCACTACGTCTTGCAAGTGGCCTCCCACTTCCACCGCCTCCTCCAGAAGTGTGGGGCGCGTTGCCAGAGGCACCGCATGCTCCTCTGTAACGTGGAGTCAGACCCCAGCAGCCATCAGGACGTCAGGCTGCTGAGCAGCCTCTTTCCTGTGGTCAGTCGTGACAGAACTGGGGAGAATCCTGACCCCAGCCTGAACCAGTTCGAGAAGGAGAAGCAGGACTATGTCTTCTGCCTCGAGCAGTCACTGTTGGTGTACAGCCCAGAGTACATCCTCCTCGTGGAGGATGATGCCGTGCCAGAGGAGGAGATATTTTCTGTCATGCATCACCTGTTCTCGGCCCGGTTCTCCAAGCCCTACCTCAGAGACGCTCTCTACTTCAAGCTGTACCATCCCGAGAGGCTCCAGCGCTACTTCAACCCCGAGCCCATGAGGATCCTGGAGTGGCTGGGGCTGGGCATGTTCCTGGGGCCGGTGCTGGCCGCCGCGTACTGCCGGGCCGTGGGGCAGGCGGGCCCTGGCTGGTGCCTGGTGGCGTTCTTCGCCCTGTACAGCATGGCCCTGGCAGAGCTGGTGGGGCGGCACTATGGGCTGGAGCTGCGCCGCCTGCACCCCGCGCTCTACAACGTGGTGCCGGCCAGCGAGTGCTGCACGCCTGCCATGCTGTTCCCCGCCGCCTCCGCCCGCCGGGCCTCGGGATACCTGCGGGGGCTGCGCTGCCGCCAGGGCTTCGCCAAGGACACCGCCCTCTACTCGCTGCTGCGGGCCAAGGGCGAGAACGCCTTCGTGCTGGAGCCCAACCTGGTGCGGCACGTGGGCATGTACTCCAGCCTCCGACTGAGGAGCAACCCGAAACTGCTGTGAGCTGCTGCTGCCTCGCCTCACAGACAGCACCCAGGGCACTTGCCATGGGCAGAGGGACAGTGTGCACGCACAGATTCTGTGCTGCTTGCACTGGGCATCCCGTGTCTCCATGAGGACAAAGAATAACTCTAAAAGTGTAAGTTTTCTTATAATCAGCTTATGTACACAGAGATCCTATTTAATAGGAACTTGGAACTAATCACCATGCACCACCTGGGAGGGGAGTGGAGGATAACAGCTCGTTCTCCTTACCAATTCCCAAAGAAAAGCTCTCACACCAACATGCACAGCTTTCCTACCTACTCTCCTGAACACAGGTTACAAAAATCTTCGCCTTAGGGCAGCAGGAGTGTTGGACAAAGTGAATGTTTCAAATTCAAGCTAATGAGGCAGGGAAGGCCTTATTTCCCCATTCTTACTAAGCTCTGATCTCTGACCTGGCTCTGTTCCAAAGCTGTGGTTTTGAGCAGACCCTTCAAAAGCAGAAGTGGTTTGCAGGAGCTTTCCCACAAATTCTGCCCAGATACTTCAAATTTATGAAGTCTCTTTAGTTATTGTCTCCCTGTCTGCACCTCCACCATTCCCAATTCTTGTTCTTCAACCAGAGGCTCTTCAAAACAAAACCTCTTCTGCTTCATTAGAGGTCACCTCTGAGAGTAGGGATAGGAAAACAGAATCACAACCACTGATGTTCCACAGATGGGTCACAAATGCACATTTTCATTGATACATGAGACACATTGTACACAATGATTGCTGTGTTGATTGGGATCATCACTCATTGTACTGGATCCATTACAAGAGGTTTTATCAGCCACTGAGTGAACTTAGACATTCGACATGAATTTACCTTGACTTTCCCTCAGCACAGGGGTAAAGGAAAGATTAGATCAGGTGCTGTTGTTGTGCAGGATCCTGCACAGGATTCATTCTGGGCCTGTAATTCACAGCTCTGCTGGAGTGGTTCATTCGCTGCTCCTGGCAGAAAGCAAAATACCTGTGGGAAACAAAAATAGCTGTTCACGAGAGCAAGCAACAATAGCACAGCACATCAAGGGGCCACTCTGACAGTGACAATGTGTCCTGGTTGTTAGTCATCTGGCATAGGTACTTTGCACCAGGGCTGTGGACACAGTTAAGTATAAATCTATGCAGTTAAATATAAAACCTTGCAGATTACAAGAGACCTCATACTGAATGAAAACAGGCAAAACTTGGGTATGCCTTTAGTGAGCTTTGAATCAAATTCACTTAGAGGTGGCATTTGGTCGAACTGTTTTTAAAACCTTATTCCTTGCTTTGGAATGAACCAAGTACATATTTTTTGTTGAGTTTAATCAGTGGGAGTTGTTTGGGTTTTTCTTTTTGGTAATGGAATGGTTCTGCTTTGAATTTTCTTCTGCCAGCTCTCTCCCAGGTGACCTATGCCTTAAGCTCTTAACAAGTGTGATTATAGGTGAGAAATACCTAAAACTCCTGAGAGATGAAACCAAAGAAATTGGCAACCATCCCTCTGTCGTAGCAGTAGGTATCAGCTACACAGCACAAAGGCACAGTGCAGGTTAGCTGAGACACAGCATCACAGCAGTGCTTTGCTCTCCAGTAATCAGCTTTTAGAACATCTTTGGAAATTAGAGTGAGTAAAAACTGCTTGTGGGTTCCAGGCCATTCCAAAGGCAGGCTATTTAGGCCTCCTGGAATAGGACACCAGAAAAATGGCACAGGGAAAACCATATTTTGTTCCCAGCTGCTGAAAGCCCTGGAGATGCCAGGGTAGTCACACAGTGGCAGGTGGGCAGATCTCTCCTCTGGCTTCACTGCAGGGGGGTTTGGGTGTCAGGATTTGGTGTCACTGTATATTTATTCCACCAAGTGCCTGCACATACAACTGGTTTCTGCATCTTCAGCTGTGAATGTTTCAGTGCAGTGGGCTTGCTCTTCTCTCTTTTATATCTTTGTACTGTACAATTCCAGGACAGTTCCCTGTTCTTTTCATGATGTTTCATTCTTGCAAAGAAAATCTCTCAGGCATGTGCGATAGATGGGACGGGGGATGGAAAGAGGGAGAGGGGGAAAGAAAGAAAGAAAGCTTGGAAGAGAGACAGACTCTGTATCTCTTTTTTATAAGTTTTTTTATGTGGGAATTCTTTTCTCCTTTTTTTTGGAGTTTTTTCTCCTTTTTGTCGTGTTGTTTTTTTTTTGTTTTCCCAAGTGTCGGGGGGGGCTCTGTTTTTTCTGTGCGTCTTGTCTGTGGATCTTGAGAATTTGTTTTTGGGGTCTCTTTTAAACTAGAAGATAATTTTCATGGCATAAGAGGTGACAGAATTTGACTGTGAGACCAAACAAAGTGCAGAGAGCCCATGGCTTGAATTTGCCAGTGTGAGAGTTTCAGATAAACCAGCTGAGAACAAACTCCTTTGTGCAAGAAGCAGGTTAATAAATTCTTCATGTCCTTCTGTGACAATTTTCTAGAGTGCCCATCTCACCTTCACAACAGAGGTGCTGCTTTGCTGAGCCTGCAGGGAGCTGTTCTAAGATACTCAGATACTTGCACAGTGCCCACCCTGCCAATGGATCACCCCAGGAAAGGGCTCCTGCCTTCCAGTTTTCCAGAAGCAGATGGAATCTTGCTTCTCTTTTCTGTGCTGCATGTTTTACTAGAAATTAGAATTCAGAGAAGTGCACATCGCCCTCAGAATAGAGAATGGGAGGCTACCGTGAATTCTTAATTCCTGTTGGATTTTGTTCTGCAGTTCAGGCTAAAAATGCAGTTTCAAACACCCAAAAGCCTCTTCCCTCTCTTTTCTCTGAGGGGAGTGGAGCTGAGTTGCTCCCAGACTACTCAGAGGTTTAAAGCACGGTATTAGCTCCCTGAAATGTGGCCTTAAGAGCTTGGTTTCTTTGACTTTAAGACAAATTTAGTGGCTATTTTTGAAACAAACAGTATGGATTTGCTTGGGTGCTGGTGTGTTCCCAATAGTTTGGAGACTATTCTTAAATGCAGCAGCTGCTGCTTGCACAAGAGGAGTCTTTTTTGATGGGCCATTAGCAGGACCCAAGGATTTATTGTCCAAGACAGTTCAGGGGGAGTTACTAACTTAAACTACATTTCTTTCCAAAGCATGTCCAACACAAGCATGATGCCAGCAGAACACAGGGGATAA